AGACGTGTGCTCTTCCGATCTTAACCAGTATTCACAATTTACTTTTTAAAGCTAAATTTTTTTTTGATTGAATGGCATAGAAAATGTGCTTCATGCAATTCCTATAAATGAATACAAAGGCATTGAGCATTGAAATGATTTCAGATTTTCAGAAATACGCATTCGCAAACGTTGAAATAAATTTTTTTCACTTAAGATCGGAAAACGCTGAATTTTTTTTCAATTTAATCCATTCTCGTTTATTGGGTAATCAGTAAGTAAGGATGATGACAAATTTTATATCGTTTTCAACAGGGCATATACAATGAAACATATTTAGTGGACCCAACAGATACAGAAGAAACTTTTTGTTCCACAAAGGCTGCATCAGGCACGACGAACAATCATGGAATTATCGTGCAATCTGTTCTTCCGCAGCACGGCCAGATCTCTGAAATGTTCGTAATGGGCAGTATCGATATAGATATCATTGAACGTTCCATGGATATTTTGAGCGAGATTCACAAAGATATATGTCCCTTATTAGAGCAGTGCCTTGTAAAAACTGTGTTCAGAACGTTTCGACCAAACAGCAAAAGAACAGATAACAAATAAAGAAGACATATTTTTGAATTCTTCTTTGTACAATTATTTTTATATTATCTTTTGTTGTTATCTCTTATGTTTTCGAGAAAATTTCTAATATCTTTTTATAGATAACTGTCATTTCGATAATCAAATATATCAGTCAACGCATATTGTGCTGACTGACATCCAAACAATATTTTGTCATGACATTTCAACGATAAAGCAAACAATTGCACAATGTCATCAGGGCGCACAATCAAAAAATAAAGAGTATTTCGTAAGCATATTGCAATAATCTTTGGAAACAGTATGTAATTGATCAAATCTAAAGATGTGTTTTTTATAATACTTTCTTATATAATGTTAAGTGTTTATTTAATTTATTAAAATTATAAAATTCATAGTTTTTACATCTGGAAAACCGAACGTATTTTATAAAGCTTTTTAGGAAACAAATTTACAGGAAAATAGGATTTTGTCGAGGGGGTAACCACTAAGAAAATAGGTGCACACCTGGACTTCGGACTTCATGGACTACGCTGAATTCCGTTGGACTACGCCGGATTTCATTGGAATTCATCGGAATTCGAGGAATTCATCGGACTTCAAGGAATTCAACGCATTTCTGACGGGTTGTACACTGGAATTCAAGAGTGGTTACCCCCTCGGATTTTGTATAACATGGTTTTCTTTTATTAATTTGCTGTCAAGGTTTCTGCCATTACGATTTCCTAGCTATGATATAACAACAAAAATGCAATTAAGATGGTTTTATCGCTCAACGCCAACTCGATAGTGTGACGTTGTCACATAAACCCCACACAATCGCATATGTACGGTCTATGCAAAATGTTTTTATTGAATTATTAGTCATATGGAGGGACTAACTTTTGATTAGGACTTGCTCGATGAAACCACCTTAACAGGAATAAAACACATTATGCCATCATGATGTCATAATGCAGAATCTGCTCGTTTTCTGATACATTTTTTAACGATTAACAGAGAAACAGTTGACGCTCGGCTGTTGATAGATTTCTATTAACCTTTGATTTTCACTAGGGGTACAGACGATATGTATGTACTAGTGAAAAAGTTGGAGACAAATAATCCAGCTTTTGACTTTGGAGAAATCTCTTCAAAGAATATAAATCTGAATGATATTAATAACATCATCTAAAGGTAATTTGTATTCTTTTATAGGTATAAATGCTGTGCAGTTGAAAAGACTCGTTAGTGCATGTTTGGCAGCTGTTAGAACTCTAAGGTCACAAGGCACGCACATTGACCTCTATGTAACAAAGGCGTTGCTTTTACTCGTTATATAAAACATAAGTGTGACATGTGGCAGTCACATCATAATTTTTTTGTTACATCTTTCCAATATTATTCAACTCAAATTTATTTCGATTTTTTTAGAGGCATTAATATAAAAAAATTAATATAATTTTTGCACAGAAAAATAACATGATTACTGATGTTGCAGTTTTAACAACTAGCAGTGTATTCAATCCATATACTTAATTCTAATTTCTAATATATTCTTATAAGCTTGTTTCTTTTTGAATCTTTTGCATTAATTCAAGAAATATATTACACTAAAGCGTTCTTTTTGATTGATGTCAAGATCGCTTTTTTTTAAAGTGAATTAAGTGATATTTAATTCGTACTATTGTTGCTTAATACAATGTCTTGATAATAATAAGCGATAAGTTCTGTTAAATTCAAATTACAAGCATGTTGAGTCTACACTACACTGCACTGCACTATCGGACTAGTCCCTAGAATAGGAACACTATATTGGACTACCTCAAGACCTAAATATAATAAACTGAATGTCGCTGCACTTCAAAAAAGGAATGACGATGTCGACACCAATTTACTTAAAAAGAACACTTTACTAATGCAGAAGGTTTAGCGAAAAAAAAAGAAAGACATGAAATATCAAAATGATATTTATATGATTATTTACAATACACGGGATTCAAAAATATAGCTTGGTATTTTTATTACAGAGAAGTACAACTCGTGTTCATATTTTACTATAATTTATCCATCCATAAATTTCAGTTTAATATATAACGCGTTTTCTCTATTGTAATTTTAATAGACAGCAGTAATTAAGTTAATTTTCTGCGCAAAAACTTGACAAAATTATATTTTCAATTTTTTAACATATTGATGCTTACTTTTAAAAAATCTAAATAAATTTGAGTGATAAAAATAAGTATAAATTTGAACGTTGGAAAGATGTAACAGAAAAAATATAATTAATTAGATATCCGGCTATATTCTTTATATATGCTGCACATTATATGCAAGTTTAACGATATTTTAATTATCCATGAATGAGCGAAGGTAGTTCACATTTTTAAATTAAAGATACGTTCCTACATTTATAACAGAAAATGTTATAACTATTTTGTCCACAAAGGTACACAATATATATTTTTTAAGAAAGCATCACAAAATATTTACACATCTGGAATTTTTAAAATGGAACGGATATTATAACGATGATATACTATTCCATAAACAATATTAATATGACCCACTCCTTTTGTCTTTTTTATTTAATAACTTATATAAAGGTAGTTTGCGCATGTTTAATCGATCTGTTTCATCTTTCAGTTTGGCGAGATCTTTTTTTATTTTGTCCTTCTACAAAACAGATTAGTGAAACATTATTATTAAGCATAAAAAAATTTAATATGTCGATAACTTTAGAAACAACTTAAAGCAGTATCTGAAATTAAATGTACATTTCGGGCCGATTTTTTAAGAGACGTCTACTATCCCTTCACCGCTCAAGATTCGAAGACAGTTCGATATGTTTTCGTATGCTGGAATCGTATCTTCCGTCAAACTATCCAACTATAAAACATTTTTTTAGCTAAATAATTTGTTTTTATAAATAATTAAACTTTAAATTTATTATTAATATATTATATACATTCTATAATAATATTTATAATAATAATGTCTCGATTTGACGAAAGTGTTTAAAGCATAGCGTCATAAGCGCAATTCGACCATCGAATCTCAAGCGGTGGTAAAAAGATAATAAGCATCATTTCAAAAATCCACCCGAAATATGCATTTATTTGAACACTGACTTAAAAATATATATATCATTATACTTACATATTCTTTCATCTCGTACATTTCAGATAAATAATATAATTCTTTCATTGTCCATTTGTTCTCATCTTGTCTATTTAATTTAACAAACGGACAAATCAACTGATATTTCATATGTTTGCTCCTATAAATTTTCAGTAGTCTTTATTGAAAAAAATAATAAATATGTATAAAAATACAAATTGTCAACATACCATGGATCGTCGTCTGATTTCCAACCTCTGAGTTGCTTCTCACACATAAAACATTCAACTAATAATAAGTCCGACTCATTGCGCCCAATAACGTAAAATCCAGCGGCAGCCATGCGTTCGGCATTGCATTTGTCAGAATCGTTGAAGGGCCAGTTGCTGTATGTTATTTTTCTATTTAGCTTCCAGAAGTAGGAGGTAGTTTCTCTGGAATTGAGAAACGAAAAGTGAAATAATGTAATTTTTCATTTTTTCGCAACCTTATTTCGAGAATTTAAAATTATAAGAGCCTCTAGCGTTCGCGATTACAAATCAATAAGCTTGTTTTTTTATAGTAGAACTACTGCACTAGTTCACTGCAGTTTATCTTCCTCTTTCTACATTGGAAGAAGAAAGATAAACTTTGAACTAGTGTAGCCAGTTCAGCTATAAAAAACAGACCTAAACAGAATACGATTTGGAAATTGCGAATAAAAAATGAATCAAGATCTTTTGAATATGTTATTGTTGATTTAACACTCGAATCATTTCGATATTGTCAAATTTCATTTAAAAATGCGCCAATACTCACGGTATTTCCACGATTTTCATGTTAAATGCCTGGCTAATTTTCTCTATATGATTTTCTTTATGAAGAAATTAATTTTTTATGAAGTTATGAAGAAAAATGTCGACCAGATTTGACGACGTCTGATATGGCGAAGAACGAGTCAAAAATTCAAATGTTCAAGTGTCGCTAGCTTATTTCTTGTTTGTCGCTGTATTCAAAGTCTCATACATGAAGACTAATAAAGAGAGGAATAAATCGGCAAGATTTTCTACCCACGTGTGCATTACTACGTCATTGATCACGTGACATACCCGACAGACATGTAGAGGTACAATGCTACCCAATCAGCACACAATGTTTTAAAAAATATTTTTAAAAATATTTAAAATACATTAAAAAAACATTTTTAAAAACATTTAAATAATGGGTTAAGTACTCTTTTTTTCATTAAAAAAAAACGTTTATCTTAACGTTTAAAGAAATATTTTTTTAA